CATCCGGGAGGGGCTCGAAGTAGATGCACTGCTCCTTCACATCAAGAGGAGCCGATTGAGGTGGCTTGGGCTGTTGATTAGGATGCCTCCTGGATGCTTCCCTGGTGAGGTTTTGTGGGCACGTCCAACCTGGAGGAGGCCTAAAGGGAGACCTAGGACACGCTGGAGGGACTATGTCTCTCATCTGGCTGGGGAACGCCTTGGGATTCCCCCGAAGGAGCTAGACCAAGTGGCTGGGGAGAGGGAAGTCTGGTCCTCTCGACTTAGGCTGCTGCCCCTGCCACTTGACTCCAGATAAGCAGAAGAGGATGGATGGATAGGTGGGCGTGGTGTCCAGCCAGATTTCTCTCCAATTTCCAATGATCATAAAAATAGGATTTGAAAAATGCTCTTCTTGGACATCCGACTTCCGTAGCAGCTTTTCACTGTTTTGGTCACTAACACCTCCCAAACTTGTCTCACATTTTTGGGCTCACGGAAGCCAAATTGAGAACGGTTCCAGATGCGTCCTACCACCTTTTTGAGAGGAGTTTTCCCGGGAAGTTTTTTTTAAGAGTCAGCGCCTCTATAGCGAGGCTCTGCGAATCACATGACGAGAACTTGTGAACATTTGAGGACATTTTGGAGATTATTTGCACAAACCCAGCTACTAAATAGTTGCAGCCTAGTGGGATAATAGTTCTAATCCCAAATGATGATTACCAAACACAGCTTCAGTGTCTTGTTAGGACATTTTGTGTTTATTTTTAAACTGTGTTGCTGCCATCTTTAACAGAAATGACACTCAAACTGAAAGCTTTGATTGTGGATTCTTTCAGCCTGTCACATTTCAGTTTGGTGTTGAGGTTTAAAATCCTGTTGCCACCCTTCCCTCCCATTAGTGCCAGCGGGATTTTCCAGCTGCCAATAGTTCATTTGATGTCGCCGTTATCACTTCAGCATGAGGTTGTGCATCCAATCACATCATACCGGCTTTTCCAGCTCCCCGCTGCCGTGTTTGTATGTGTGTCACTCTCGAATTTACCCCCGCTAAAAATAACAAGAGAGGTGGCAGTGACCTGTCTGCGGCGATTGTCTCTGGTGCAGAATTTTAATAAGGTGTTGTGACAGGTGCTGAATTTGTAATGGTTTATCGAGTAGATTTGTGTTTCTGTAGTGGGATTAAATGTCCTCAAATTCCCTGGAGTAGTCCTGAAAATAAGCTGCTATCCTCTCCAGTCGCCATGTTGCCAAGATGTTAACGTGTTCGGTTTAGGCCTCACAGTTTTAGTAGTGGATTTACATAAAAACAACTAAAAACACCATGTACGTCTGGTATCTGGAAACATGTACACAAATTAGCCAAAAATAAATGAAAATGCATGATGTTCTTTAGTAAGCACCCTGAAGCCGGGTGTACACTGTGCGACTTTTTCACTTTTTTGAGCCGATTTTCCACTCGTGCGAGAATCCACAAGATCGGGGCGAGTTTTGCGCCGAGCGTCGTGTAGTGTACAGGGGGTTACGAGAGGCGATTAACACCACGTGACCAGCTGCCGATCAGCAATTGTGAGCTCGCACGGACTTCTGGCGTGTTTAACTCATTCACTGCCAGCCGTTTCCTGATCGCTAACGGCCTTCGCTGCCAGCGTTTCTCACCATTTTTACTGTTTTTTTTAAGAGTCACAGAACGTTGCGCGCTAGCATGATGTCGATGCCAAAACAACCTAAACAAAGAGGAGACTCACCTCTTACATCAGGAAGAAGCCGTGTGTTTCGAGCGTTATCCGTTCTTTCATAATCCGTTGTCGAATTGTGATCGGCAGACGCTTTTCCGGTTCGCGCCTCACTTTTTTTTACAGGAACGGCCCAAAACGATCTCCAAACACATGGATGGTCTGCTTCCTGATCATGTGATCTGTGACGTATGCGGATGAAGATCGGCTTCAGGGCTGAGATGTTTGGGGGCTCGTTCCGATGCTCAAACAGTAAAAAAAAAATGCAAATGACGACTTTAGTCGTCATTGGCAGTGAACGGTTGGATCTAAAATGACGACTTTAGTCATCAATGGCAGTGAATGAGTTAATATTTCGCTCGTCCCTCGTGAGGGTATCGCACTCTTGAAGCGGCGCTGCGAGCAGCTGCGACCCAAAATGTATCAGAACCGCTCACGGCGCATGCGCAATTCTGCATCAACACCGCTCGCCCGCTATTTCCCTAATAACACGTTGTTCGTTTTAATTTCTACACATCTTTTTACTCACAAAGATAGTCAAGAAAGCGTGTTTGTCGTGTTCATGTCAAATTAAACTGATCACAAAACACAGATTTATTTTCTTTATTTCGTTTTCCTCATCCAACCCCATAAATCCCTGTGTGTCCTCCTGCAGCACTCCCGAAGGACAACAGGCAAGACAAGACAAAAAAGTCTGACGTGTTGAGTAAAAACTGCTATTTTTAGCATATTTTTAGGGCCGACGTGTTGCTACCAGACGTACAGTGTGAGCAGTCGGATCGCATCTGAGAACTGGGTCGTGCAGTGTGAGCACATGACTCGTGAGATCTGCCCTGCGAGGAAGTCGTAGTTTGTGCTGAAGCTGAGTGCTACGAGTGAAAAAGTCGCACAGTGTACGCCCGGCTTAAGAGGGCTCGGGTAGCAGCTGTTTTTAATGAAGGATTTGAATGTTATCAGATAAGAAATCCTCTGTTCAGGCTGGTATAGAAGCCCGGGGGCTGAATATAGAAGCAGCTATGCTAAATACTCTGCTGAACTCAAACACCCTGTATCAGGCAGATGTTCTGCTTCATCCATTATTTCTTTTTATTAATATGCCAAATGTGTTCGGTAGTAGTGACTCTTTCAAGCATAAAGGGGCTTAATCAACACAAGCAACGGGCTAATGTTGAGTCGACGGATAACAGAGAAATCAGCAAAGAACCTATTTATTCAGTTGAGTTGATGGAAAATACCAAAGAAAAGACAAAAACACGTATTTTAGCATCAAAAACATGAGCTGTGGTCTTAAAACTTGTACTGGTCAGGTACAAATAGGGCTGTTTTAGACCACTTGTTGTAATTATATCCCAATAAAATGTCTTTATTCTAATTAATTGAAAGTGTTCATGTATTCATTAGCCTTTGAATGAATGTAGGGCTGCAGCTATCGAATATTTTTGTAATCGAGTACTCTATCGAATATTTTTTTCGATTACTCGAGTACTCTAATAAATTACCCCTTTGTGTTTGTAAACCATTATATCAAATAGCATGTTATAATTATGAAAGACCTCTTAAAATGAGCAAGCAGTTGCCAGTTATTCTTCAAGTTTTATTCAAAATTAGTTTGCAAAACTTCAGCACTTCAACTTTACTTCACAGTAAACAAATGCCTGTGCAAAAAATAAGTACACAACCTGAGCCGATTTTCCCCTCGTGCGAGAATCTGCTAGCCTGCAAGCCAGAGGATAACTGTTGAAGTAGCGCTGCGGGCGGCTGCGGCCCAAACAGAACCAGAACCGCTCACGGCGCATGCGCAAACAGCTCGCCGGCTGTTTCCCTATTAACACACGTCCGTTTTAATTTCAACACTTTTTTCTCACACAATAACAAGGATTGTCGAGAAAGCATGTTTGCCGTGGTTTTGTCAAATTATACTGATCACAAAACATTTATTTACTTTCTTTCGTTTTCCTCTCATAAATACCAGTAATCCTGCAGCAATCCCGAGGGACAACAAATATCAATAACAACACAATAAAAAGTCCGACGTTTTGTGTAAAAATGCTATTTTTTAGCACATTTTAAGTCCGACGTGTTGCTACCAGACGTACGGTGTGAGCTGAAACTGAGTGCTACAAACGAAAAAGTCGCACAGTGTCCGCAGAATATATAGCAATACAGGCTAAAATGCATTATCTTGTAGAGGCTCCGAGTCCGCTTGCAGAAGTGACATTTACAGGTGCTGCAGCACGGAGGATGTGGTGTTGTGGTAGGCTAAATCCATTTTACAGTATTTTCACTGGACTACGTTTTCCACCTTACGACGTGAAAAATGGTTCCACATCTTGACATTTTCTGTCTTTTTCGCACTCCACCGGGGTCCACGTTGTCCGCCATAGCTTAAGATAAAGTTAAGTTACATTCCCTACTCGCGTGTGCGATTCAGTCCAGTGGGCATGTGCGTCACTTATTTCAGTCCGGGTGAAACATGACCACGGGCGACTGCAAAGCCATGAATTAATTAAATATGAATTAAACGAATCCTCGAGGCAGAGAATTTGACTCGAGGATTTTTTGTACTCGAATTATTCGATGTACTCGAGGAATCGTTTCAGCCCTAAATGAATGTTTCTTATGCTGCAATGTAACTGCTCATCCTTTAACTTTGCTTTTTAACTTATTCATACATCTGCTTTAATTTGTGAAGGCAGTTTTCACTTGCTTTTAACACCTCCTAGTGTCCGTTTAGTGAAATATTCGCCGTGCATTCGTCTTTGTAACATTTTAATCTAACAGCTGAAATGTCTCTTCAGCCTTCATTAGTTTCTACAGGAGTTATTCATCACTAAATCTAACAAATCAGCTGTATTCATGATCTGAAACATGCTGGAAGCAGATTTGAGTGCCAGGCAGTCCAACAGGGACCAAAGTGGCACTCTGAAATTGCAAGTGCAATATTCTGGCCACAGAGGGGGTTGAGGGTCTGAGTGACATTTCATTAACCCTGTAAAGGGTCATTATAGCACATATTGGCTGAAGAAAATGATTTAAAACTATTAAAATAGTGTGGCTTTAACTTATATTTAGAAATCGGCTTTTATGTTTTCACGTTGATTTTTAATGCTTTATGTTCTTGCTGTTCTGGCTCCTGGAAAGCACATTAAATAGCTTCTCTGTATGAAAAGTGCTATACCAATAAAGCTGCCTTGCCTAATTAAAAACCTATAAACACCCTGTTCTTTAATGTTTATATCTCTTTATATGTTAAATAGTGCAACAGATCCTTATTTATTCCTGCAGATCTGCACCAATATTTTCCGGGCTCTTCCTCCCAGTGAAAATCCAGATTTTGACCCAGAAGAAGATGAACCCACTCTTGAAGTGTCATGGCCGCACATCCAGGTGAAGTTCTATACCTCACTGTGTCCAGCTGACCTTTGAAGATTCTTAATAATTTCTGTTTTTTTTGCTTTTTCAGCTGGTGTATGAGTTCCTCCTGCGCTTCTTGGAGAACCCGGACTTTCAGCCCAGCATTGCAAAGAGATTTATTGATCAGAAGTTTGTTTTACAGGTAGGTCCTGTATGTTTTAGTTGTTTATCTGCAGCGTCAGAATTTTTAAATCCTTCCAAAACAAGCACCGCATGTCACCAGGCTATGGTTTGATATTTGCAGGATGAATCGAACGCTCCGCTTTCGCTCGTCTCCATATGCGCCCGTTTAGCGCCCACCTACTGGAGGAATGTTTCACTCCTTACATCTCAGTTGCTAACAGGCATTATAAGGTCTGGAATGTTGGCCGGGCCACATCCGAGGTGCCTGCTCTGACTTTCCATGATGCGAGCGTGCCGTTTGGGAGCTTTAAATAGCTGCCTGTTGTTTACTCTTTAGAGGAGCAAGGAGTGGTGAAGGCAGAGTGATGAGGTGGGATGGGAGAATCTTTAAACGTTCACAACAAAACAAAAACGACTTACAGTAAACTAGTTCTGGCTCATCAGGCTCTTTCCTTTAATCGCCTGTTTTTTAATGTTCCTCGTGTTTAGCTCGTTGCTGCAGAAACCCTCATCGGCAAATGACCATGTGTGCAACATGTGGGTGGACACGTGATCAGGTTGTGTTTGTGTGCCTCCGTGTGGGATCTCGGTTTATAGTTTCCTATAAAAATGTCCTAATGTGCTTTGTAAAGCACAGCCTCTCTATGGTTTTGGCTGAAAGTGAGAATCTGTTGACTGGTTAACTTCGATCGGGCTCTTGAGAGCGCTCAGGTCCTAATGTGACCCCCTGTGATTGAATATTGATGCGGCCGCAGGCACAACCAGCATGTCCGCGTTACACGGCGTCTGCTTTGGTTTCACAATGCATACCCAACGTCCATATTTCCTTTAATCGTTATTGATCGTCACAGTCGTTATGCAACCCTATAAGCTAGACAAAATAATTATTCTTTTTCTATGATGCATTTTTAACACTTTGTGGGGATTTACATTATATTCATCTCAATAAAGAAAAGTGGCATCCAGGTTTCTGCAGCTGCACGTTGCAAGTGTCCTATCATTCTTTAGCCCTGGTATGCAGTGGTTGCACAATGTCTCATAAACCACGGGACAGATTACAAAGAATCATTAGATGTATGTTTACACCTGATTAGGTTTGGGAACTGATCTGTTTCAAGATGGCTGCGACAGCTCAAACACAAAAAAGGTTTAAAACTCAGCGAGTTTTCATATCACAATGCAATTTGGTGTCGTTGAAAGTATAAGTTCTGCCCGTCGTGCTAGACGTTTGTGCTGGAGTTGGTTCTTCTCGACTTCAGTCAGCCTAGTAAAGATTAGGTTTGCTCGGATGTAAAATCTCTGCAGACTTGAGGAAGCTTTTGTGAGAACAAGAATAAAGTAAACCATGTTGCAAACTGTGCTACGGTCTTGTGCAAACCTCTGGTTGAAATGGAGAAAGAGCGCTTGCAGCATTAGAATCAGAACATAGCTGCAGACATGTGCACCACCACAATAAAAGCCTTTTCTAGGATGTTAAAAATAGACCGTCAGCCTCGTCACCAAGGTGCTCTCAACTTGCTAGCAGAAGATGAGCACCAGAGCCTGGACGCGCTGCGCGGCGGCTTTACTTCTTCAGCTGTATCGTAATGATGACTCATCAGTGCTGCAAATAGCTGCTTTAAACCAAGGGCTTTGAAAGCTGTTTACATTGCTAAGCGCTCACACATTTGTGTGTGTGTGAGCGTGTTCAATAAGCTGCCTCACAGCTAGCGCACAAGGCTCAAATATGTGTATAGTCAGCTGCAGCCTTTTCTTCAAAGATGTCTTCCTTAGATAAGACATTCATCTCACTGTCAGAAGCTGGATTTATACCACAGTGAAGGCAGCATAACCGCTGAGTCATGCAGTGACAGCAGTGACCACGAAACAAAACGTGTCTTTTTTTAACTCAGCGAGTGATTGATGATAGTCCTGTTGGCGCCTTTTATTCAAAAATAAAACATTTGAGCTCATTTGTTAGGTTTATGGTACAAACATAAATCTCTGATGCGTGACTGTGAGTTGTCGCTCAGGAGTGATGGCTGTTGCTTTGCCTCCATCCGTGCAGCTGCTGGAGCTGTTCGACAGCGAGGACCCGAGGGAGCGGGACGTCCTGAAGACCATCCTGCATCGGATTTATGGGAAGTTCCTGGGCCTGCGAGCCTTCATCAGGAAGCAGATCAACAACATCTTCTTGAGGTGAGTTTGTCCGTCGTGCATTCATTTTTACTTCTTCTTTAAAAGGTGTGGGTGTTTCAGGCGGTGTCTGATCGGCTCAGATTCATAAAAGTCACTATTGCTGCAAACATTGTAAATGGTCTGGAACAAAAACTCATTTTCTTTATGGTATTAATCATCAGACCCAGGCAGTTTGTACTCTAATGGGTCAAACATCAGAAAACGGCAGCAACGCGTCTGGAGCCAGTAATACCTCACATCATCTGCTGTTTAATCTGTTTATTTAATTGCTTTTTGGCTTCTTGCTGCAGAAATGCTTTTCTCTAAACTCCACAACTCTTCCTACTTAAAAAAAAATTTTCTTACAACTATAGAAGTTATAGAAGAAGTGCTTTTATTTATTTATTTATTTATTTATTTATTTATTTTTAAATGAGATTAGTCGGAACCATCGCCTGTTTGGTGTGAAGTTATAGAGCTTCTCATTCACTTGACCCCATTCCCCAGGTTTGTGTTATGAAAATGATTTTGTGAACAGATCCATCCTTTTTTCATATAAAGAAGATATTTTCAGGATTATACACGAAAAGGAAATGAAATTCTAAATCTGATTGAAACGATTAAAATAAACACACATTAACAGGAGCTGTTAGAATAATGTAAGGAGATTATTCTTAGCTCTGCGATGGACTGGCTCTCTGTCCAGGGTGTACCCCGCCTGATTGCCCGTTGACCGCTGGAGATAGGCACCAGCCCCCCCCCCCCGACCCAATGGATGGATGGCTTATTCTTAGCTTTTACAGCCTTTAATCTTTTATTTATTTTTTACTTTTTCAGGTTCATATATGAAACCGAACACTTTAACGGTGTTTCTGAACTGCTGGAGATTCTGGGAAGGTGCGTATTGGACTTGGAAGTGTCATTTGTAGTCAGTGTCCTAATTTAACAGCAGTATTTCTGGTTATTTAGCCCATCAGGAGAGGAAAAAATGGGAGCTAATCTCTCAAAGTCAAATTTCATATTATTTTTACATTTTTAAATGTTAAAGTTCCAAGCAAAATATTTAGTTTATAAACTAAATGATTATTTTACTAAATAGATATTTAATTTGGAGCTAAATATTTAGTTTACAAACTCCAAACTGAATATTTATTTTCCAAAATAAATACTTAGATCCCAGCTAAATATTAAGATCTGGCCCTAAAATAGATATTTTTGCTGGAATCTAAATATTTATTTAGCAAAATTAATATTCAGACTGGAGTTAAATATTTAGTTAGTAAACTAAATATTAATTTTACAAACTAAATATTTAGTTCTGACCTACATATTTAGTTTGTAAAATAAATATTTAATTCTAAATTAACTATTTAGCTTGCTAACTAAATATTTAGTTCGGATCTTTAAAATTTATAAATGTGTGAATAATATGGTAAAATTGTACTTAGAAAAATTATATCCCATTATTTTCTCCTATGACAGTCTAAGGCCTAGTCCACATGTAGCCGGGTTTTTTTTCAAAAAACGAATATCCGCCCCTCCAAAAACTTGCATCCACACCACCTCGTTTAAAAAAAAACTGTCCACAAGTACCCGGATAAATACGTTGTTAAGGACATGCCAGACCTGTAGGCGGCAGTACTTCCCCCATTCTTAACCTCGTCCTTCGTCTGTGGTCTTCCACAAGGAGCAGTAATTCCGCTTGCAAAAACAAACGAGCACAAAGTGCTTGGACAATTGATAAAGGAGCGCAGCTCTGAGGGCTTTCATGATGCCGGCTAGTGTAAACACAGGTCGCACACGTGATGTCAGCATTTTTTGTCGCGGAAAGTGACGATGCGGACCTTAAAACTCTGGTTTTGTCTGTCCACACGCAGACACCAAAAACGGAGAAAACGCAGATCTTCACTTTGGCCGGAGTTTTTAAAAAGATCTGTTTTCGTGTGAAAAAACTCCATTTTCGTGTGGATGACAGGCCAAAACGTAGAAAAATATCTACGTTTTGGCAGATCCCTGGCTACGTGTGGGCAGGGCCTAAATAACAGTATATTGCTGTTAAGTTCTGACTTTACAAATGGCACCTCACATTGGACTAACAACAAAAGTTATTTATGAAATATAGAAAAAAAAAACATTTTCAGGTTACAGCTTCAGCAGAGTGAAGATATGAGGCTAAATGATTCATTCAATTAATGTTTTGAGCATCTTTTCAGTAATTAAATCTCCGCTTTACTGAAATTAGAAAATAAAAATGTCTGCTGTGGTTTGTTTGAATCATGTGTGTAATCTAGCAATGCCTCTTTGTTTATTTTCAGCATTATTAACGGGTTTGCCTTGCCTCTGAAGGCAGAACACAAGCAGTTCCTGATGAAGGTGCTCATCCCGTTACACACAGCTAAAGGACTGGTTCTTTTCCATGCACAGGTAGAAGAAAGTCAACTTCACAGCTGTTGTAATAAATGTTGGTATTATGGTGTCCCCTAGTGGATTAGACGTGTAATTGCATGTTATTATTCACTTCCTTCAGCTGGCTTACTGTGTGGTTCAGTTCTTGGAGAAAGATCCCACGCTTACAGCGCCGGTACTTTTTATATTCTTCCTTCCACTCAAATTACTGAGGAGAAACATCTGCTCTAGTTAGAAGCCATCAAACACAGAAGATAAATCCGGTTTTCTCTGCAGGTGATCCAGGGCCTGTTAAAGTTCTGGCCCAAAACCTGCAGCCAGAAAGAGGTACTCTACCTGTCTGTTTGTAAGCTGTTTGTTTCTGGCAGCATAAGTAACGACCGCTCCCACTCAGGTGATGTTCCTGGGGGAAATCGAAGAGATCCTGGATGTCATCGAGCCATCGCAGTTCAGAAAAATCCAGGAGCCGTTGTTCAAGCAGATCTCCAAGTGTGTGGCCAATCCACACTTTCAGGTGTGCTGAGATCTTAGTTTTTGCATATTTTTGAATATTTTAATTCATTTTATTATTTAATCACATCAAAATAAACTGCATTGTCTCAACCAAAAATCGCTTTTCAGCTGGAATGTATGTAATTTAGCAACATATCTAATTATAAATCATAAATAGTTCAGATTTCCAAAGTTAATCTGTGAGGAAAAACCTACGAACATCTAATATTTAGCCTGTCGTAGGGGCCTCTTTGAACGGCCTCAGTATGGAGAAGCAGAGATTGGTCAAACAAGCGAACTGACTGCAAATAACTGTAGAATAATGGGCTCGACACACGGGAGGCCACATCGCCTCTCCTCCATTCATTTTCAATGAGACATGCGCGACAAAGCAATAATCGCGGGTCTCCCTTCTGCTAAGCGAAACGCGAAAAACTTGCATGTTAACTTTTGCGCTCATGCACGTGTCGTGCACAGGCGACGCAGCAACACGATCCCAGAAAGTTGAAATATTTTCAACTTTTCATCGCTGTCACTCGGACGAGGACCAATCAACAGAGGTTTCATTCACTGACCAATGAGCGGACAGGATGCTCCGTACACCTCCGAGCAATCAGGAAGGAGAAGTTGATGCTTGCTGTGACGGATTTCCCAGAACTGTACAATATTTCTACTAAAAAATATAGAGATATTCACACAAAGGCTGCGGCGTGGGAAATTGTTAGTGCCAGAATTAAATGATGGTATTCTCCGTTTCTTTCTCTGGTTTGTAATATGGGATGAACCCATTCTCATGTTATTTTTTTATATAGTAAAATCAGAAGTAAGATAGATGTCACATACCTCTAGCAGCACCTTGTGAAACATCATATCTACCGCTTTTTTAACTCTGAACTGCTTAAATAACCTTAATTCCCTCCAACCTGACACAGCCAATCAAAACAACGGAAGATTCGAATTAGCCATGGAACAGAACGCGTCGACAACTTTGCCGCTGCCGCAGGTTGCCTCCCGTGTGTCAGGTAATAAAAGCGACGGATTTCGCTGATCGCGGTCGTTTGTCTTCTCCTGTGTGTCAAGCCCATGAAGGTTTGTAAATGGTATGTGCACAAACTTATGTTGGGATTTTGAGCTTGAAGTTGTTTTAAGGCTTATTTTGGTGGATTATATGTGATTCAGGAAGAAAAACTGCCAGCTAAACTAAGTGAATTAGCAGTTGTTGGTTCCTGAACAAGGAAAAATGGTGGATATTTCATCGCTGCATGGTAGCAGTGGACCAGAAAAGGGTTTTGATTTTTGACTTTCAGGTTACCCGATACCCTATTAAGCTGATTGTCTTGAATATTAGCCGATTCTGACAACCAGCCAGTTTAATTTTATGCGTCTCTTAATAGAAATTCACTAGTTGTCTGTGACTAGCCATTAGCTTATCAATCTGGTAAGAACTGATCTCCGGTTCTCCAAATTGAGCTTGTTGAAAAAGCTTCAGCGTGTATCTCATTAAATCTTCGTGATATTAAACTTTTTTGTGTCTGCATCTTCATTTGTTTTCTGCTCCATCCTCACAGGTATCAGAGCGTGCTCTGTACTTCTGGAATAACGAGTACATCGTCAGTCTCATTGAGGAACACATCGAGAACGTTCTTCCCATCATGTTTGACTGCCTGTTCACGATCTCTAAGGAGCACTGGAACCCGTAGGTTCTGTGACCGTTAATCCAGACCGGATCAGATCATGAAATACTGTATTTTCTGGAGTATAAGTCGCACCAGCCATAAAATGTATAATGAAGAAGAAAAAAACATATAAGTCACACTGGACTATAAGTCGCATTTTGGGGGGAAATTTTATAATTTTTCTTAGAAAATCTGAGACCAAGCATTTCACATTGCAAGACAAGTGCCGGTAACAATAACAGAATAAACAGTCAGGGCGCAGCAGCGCGCCACGGTCCCCAGCAGAGGATGGCGGTGTTTAAACCCTCCCAGCGGGGCAGAGGAGCTGAAACCTGGACTGGAGCCGGCCCGCAGCAGCGCGGTATACGCAATTTGGTATTTAATTCACTTTGGTATACAAGTCGCAGGACCAGCCAGATTATGAAAAAAAGTGCGACTTATAGTCTGGAAAATATGGTAATTAAGTTTTCTGCAAAGTTCTGGAACTTGTCCCTAAAGTAAGTGTGTGTGTGTGTGTGTGTGTGTGTGTGTGTGTGTGTGTGTGTGTGTTTCAGGACCATCGTAGCTCTGATCTACAATGTCATGAAGGCCATGATGGAGATGAACTTGAACCTGTTCGACGAGCTGGCGACCTCGTATAAAGAAGACAAAATGCGGTGAGTTTTTAATCGAGGGAACATTTACCAAAACCACCTCAAATTCATTTTACAACAGACGCTTTAAAAGCTGTTGGAAAAACAAACATTTACAACCTTAGATGGAATCATTCCCATTTTTAAAGCGCTCTAATCAATTTTCCTTTTTTTTTTTTTTTTTTTTTTTGGACCAGTGCTTGGTGCTAAAGAACAAAACTTGGAATTTATTACGTAGGAAATATCAGTTTATATAGAGTAAATATTGAAAACCATTCCACCAGCTAGGAAAGATGCCAGAACTCTTTCTACAGGGTCTCGGTGGGGTCTTAAAACGTCTTAAAGGCTTTGAAGTTAGGAATGTGGCAATAATATCTTTATAAGGTCTGTACAAAGTCTTGAATTTTGACAACTGGGTCTTTAAATTTGTGCTGTATGTAAATTCATTGAACTGTATTTGTCCTCTAAAGTTTCATTTGTCAACCACAATAATTCCTAAATAACGTAGCCTAAATAAAGAGCGGTGGAACCAATAATTGAGAACGCAGCGCAGCCTTGGGTCAAAACACTTCGAACACGTGACGTGTTCAGCTCCCGCGCTACAGCAGTGGTACAAAACGGTAAACGACACAGACCATACAGACCTCCAGCAGAAGAGAAACGTGGAAAATCTCAGCAGACCATGAGAAAGGTTGACTGACGCCTAGGGCTGGGTGCCAGAACTCTGGACCTCTTTGGGACTGAGTGGAAACATTCAGTAAGTGCCGAAATCAGAAAAAAGTATTAAAATGTCCCAACGTGCCACCGTGGGTCATATGGCTGATCCCGAGTCACGTTATGAGTGGAGGAGATGCGTCTCCTTTCAACAGCACTTCTCTGCAATTGGCGGATGCAAATCCTAAGAAACTCAAATGTTTGGGTTAGTGATGCACCGATAGATTACGATATCCGATATTATCATCACTGTTATGGCCGATAACCGATATTTGCTGATACCGATATGTACATTAATGCTTCTAAAATCAGCAGTTTGTGTATTGAATGAAAATTATTAAAGCTGAATTTACATTATTTTGTACCGTATTTTCCGGGCTATAAGTCGCACTTTCATAGTCTGGCCTGTCCTGCAATTTATACTCCGGAGCGACTTGTATACCAAATTATGAAGGCTATACCGCGCTGCTGCGGGCCGGCTCCGGACCAGGAATGAGCTCCCCTGCCCCACTGGGAATAAACAACACACAGCCATCACCTGCTGCAGCCTGTGGCGGGGAGCTGCGGGCCGGCTCCGGCCCAGGAATGAGCTCCCCTGTCCTGCTGGGAGGGTTTGAAACACCGGCGTCCTTTGCTGGAGACCGTGGCGCGCTGCTGCGCCCTGGTTGTTTATTCTGTTATTGTTACTGGTACTTGTCTTGCAATGTGAAACACTTGGTCTCAGATTTTGTTAGAAAAATAATCAAATTTCCCCCCAAAATGTGACTTATATATGTATTCTTCTTCTTCTTCATTATACATTTTATGGCTGGTGTGACTTATACTCCGGAAAATAAGGTACACACACCACACTCATTTACGCTTCTGAGATGATTACAATCACTGTCACCTGACTAAACAAATGCACATCACCCCCTTACCCTCTGAAACAGATAAGCAAATGTAAACAAGATGGGGAAAAAAAATCTGTTGTTAAAATCGGTCCAGTTTTATCTATCAGGCTGATACCAATATATTAAAAAATGACTAAAATCAGCCAATACCGATATTGATGCCAATATATCGTGCATCCCTAGTTTGGGTGCATTTTTCCCAAAGTGAACGGCAGCTAAACGCAACAACAGCGAGAAGATTTGTACCACCAAAGCGCATTGTCGTGCAGGGCATCATCTTGAGATGAAACATAGAACGTCTTTGACTGCAAAAATCGTAAACTTGATTCCATCACCTTCCAAACCACTGGAGGAGTCTGAGGATGGAGGCTGATTAAAGCAGAAATGGGACATAAAACCAACTTAGCTGCTGTTTACCAGTGTTATAAATGCAGTTCAGCAGGGTTGTTATTACTGCTGTTACTGACATGAAGTGAAGCATGAAGGCTATTTTAGAAAAGAAAGAAAGGACAACGATCTTTTCTATAGCGCCTTTCAAGATAAAAATCATGAGCTGCGTCTCAAAAACCACAAAATTTAACATATAAAAAAGATTTTAGAAAATTATTAAAAATCTGTTAAAAATAAGCAAAAATAGACTCTTGTGATTAAAAAAATGCAAAGAAGGAGAGATCCTCGGGAAGGCGGAATAGGTGGAGAGGGCAGAATAAGGAGAGGCCGGTGATGAAGGTCACGCAAAAGCTTGAAGAGGTGAGTCTTCAGCTGCTTTTTAAAGGAGACCACTGAGTCCACTGATCTCAGGCTCAAGGGGAGAGAGTTCCAGAGTCTGGGGGCCACAGCAGCAGATGATCTGTCACCTTTTGTCTTTAGCCTGGTGCTGCACAACCAGTAGGCTTTGATCACTGGACCTCAGGGACCTGCTGGGGGTGTAGGGACTAAGAAGATCACCAATGTATGATGGTGCTTGTCCGAGCACAGGCATTCTGAACCACCTGTAGACGGTTCAGGGAGGTTCTGCTCAGACACGTGAAAAGAGAGTTACAGTAGTCTAAGCGTGAGGAGATGAAGGTGTGGAGAACGGTCTCAAATTCAGAGCGGGACAGCTTAGCAACGTTCCTGAGATGGAAGAAGGAACACCTGCAATTGTCAATAATTTAACAGATTCTTCTGTTTTCTTCACGACCATCTAGGGAGCAGCAGAAGGCGCAGGAGAGGGATGAGCTATGGCGGAAGCTGGAGGAGCTGAGGCTCAGCCATGCCGCCTCAGTCCAGATCAATAGCCACGGGATTCCCAGTTTCCAAAACAGTAATAACAACAACAATAACAACAACAGCCACCTGGACAGCAGTGGTGATGATGATGCTGTTACTCACAAGGGCGAAAAAACGTGTGATGATTCCGAGGTAATTGTAGGGGTCCTGTGTACCAAAGAAGATCTCCTCCAGGACATTAGAAATGACAGTGTCCTTGAGAATATTGAATGTATGTCATGTGAAAATATCGTGGTGGGGGAGGTGTCCGACATCATTTTGGACGCTTGCGTAATGCATGGGGATGATGCGGTCACTCACAAGGGCGACAAAATGTGTGACGACTCCGAAGTAAATATAGGGGTCCTACGTACTGAAGATGTCGACCATTATGATGATGATTTATATGGAAGCACAAATACGGCAAGTCAAAATGTCAATGATGAAAATTAAATGGTCGGATGTTTGGTGTGTGACAATGTCGCTGAGGAGGTGTGTTTAATAGAAAAAAATGACAAATCAATGCGGCTGCCAATATTTTATTCTGAACAAATTGGATGCGGCAGTCAGGATGTCAGGATTTGAACGGATGTGACATCACAAGTCACACCTCAGCAGTATGATATGTAGATTGAGCTCGAAGCGCCAGCATTTCTTTGGCAGGACAAACAAACAAACAAAGCTAGATATGAATGTATCTTCAACTTAAGGACTATTTTTGAATGTTACAGCGCGGCTGTTTCTGTCTGTCACGCTTAGTATCCATGTTGTGTGTGACGCGCGGGAGAGGCAGGGAGGAAACGATGACTTTAATGTTCGTCCCTCTGCCGCACTTAGAAAAGCTGAACAGCTATTTAAAAGATGTCTATTTTGAATGCTGCTGCCAACACTTGGGTGCAAACCTGAAAAAGAGAGATGAGCTGCTGGGACCATATAAATACTGAAATCTGTATGTGTATTTAGAAAGGTGAATGGATGAATCATGGCCAAAAAAGATTTTAGTTTTAGATTAAAAACAAATTAAGGAAATATATTTTTCAGGCTATTTTTGTGTTGCAGGTGTTGGTGAAAGGTTGAAAATGTGATGCTAACATGGTCCTTGATGTCATTTATGTAAAATTCACACTGATTTGGAAAAAAAAGGGCTTAAAAAAGAATTTAAAATGTTTTGCGGGAATAGTTCAGCCTTTGACCTTTTCATGTTTAGAGAAAAATAACTTTGCTCTGTCCTGAGATAAAAAAAAGAAGCAAATGCATTTTTAAAAACACCAGTGAGCACATTTAGAGGTTTCTGACCTGCACCAGCACCGAGTAGTTGGGTGGTTCTGCTCGTAATTATGAGAATGTTTCATTTCAATCAGCTGATTTTAAAAGATGAAAAACTATTTTTAAGGGTGTTGAGGAATGATATTTTCATTATATAAAGAGATGCAGGGTGTGTGTGTGTGTGTGTGTGTGTGGGGGGGGGGGGTGCGCGTGTGTGCGTGCGTGTGTGTGCGTGTGTCTGTGTGTGTGTGTGTTTTAGGTTTGGAGGCTACTGAAAGGGAAAACGCCACTCTTTTTCTCTTTTGTACAGTTAAACGTTCCCGTTTCCGGAGCTGAAGAACTTCGACGTGTCCGAGCAAAGGAAGCTTAAACTCATCTACATGTATTCCTAACAAAGACACACTGTGAGGTGACATTACAAAGACAATAAAAGTACCAGAAAATCCGTAAACCACCAGCTGTTCCTGATCCTCTGATGGTTATTAAATGAAATGACTGCTACTGATCACAGGAACCATGTTTGGAGAGTTTCTATTTTCTAAGGTGGATTGTGTTTCTACAGGACCGTGTGTGTGTGTGTGTGTGTGTGTGTGTGTGTGTGTGTGTGTGTGTGTGTGTGTGTGTGTGTGTGTGTGTGTGTGTGTGTGTGTGTGTGTGTGTGTGTGTGTGTGTGTGTGTGTGTGTGTGTGTGTGTGTGTGTGTGTGTGTGTGTGTGTGTGTGTGTGTGTGTGTCTGGTGTTTCTGATGCCTTTCTGTCAGTACAGCATTCCGACCTCTGTGAACTTTAATCAATCTGGGAAACCTGTTTTGTAATCGCAGATCTTATTTAGCTTTCACCAACAAATAAAATCCACATCATTTTTCTACTGAAACTAACAGCCTCTATTTGTATTTTATTTTATCTAATTGAAGACGTTGTTGTTGTTCAGAAATGCAGTACACCACATCTGCCAGCAGGTGGTGAAGACATGCTGCTATAAAAGCATTGGATGGATGGGTGCTGCATGGATCGTTCTGTCTCCATCACTATCAATAGTTGTTTGTTTTACTGAAGCAGAACATGTGTGTTTTGCAAAAGACTCGAGCCATCATCCAAGTTTCTGATGAAGGTGCTAATCCTAATACTCCAGCTGGAGGCTTTAAGGCCACTAGTGATTTAATGTGACTTTTAAACGATCTAAACAGAGTAAATTGAAAATGATAAATCATTCTGCAGACCTGGATTATTTTTTACATTGATCTGACAGTGAGTCGTTGCATGTAATATTTTATATCAGATTAATGTTGCTTTGTTTTTTACTGACTGGCCCCACCCCTTCAACTATGACCTGAAAATCTGAAGAAAATAGAAATTGGTAAGAAAATCTTTGATGTTTCCATAAACCAGGGCTATTCAAGTTCGGGCCTCGAGGGCCAGTATCCAGCACGTTTTAGTGGTTTCTCTGGTCCAACACATTAGATTCAGTGATTGAGTCACCTGTGCTGCAGCTCATCAGGCTCTGCAGGAGCCTGTTAATCACCTGCTGATTGAAATCAGGTGTGTTGAACAGTCTATGGTGTTGAAGCAGGGTAAATACTAAAACGTGCTGGATACCAACCCTCAAGGCTCAGAATTGAATAGCCCTGCCGTAAACGGTGCTTCAGCTTTTATACATACAGGTGAAACTGTAAAAACGAGAATAGGCTACAAAAGTCAATTTTTTACAGTAATTTAGTTTGGACTGAGAGGCTATCTAAAGATTCAGGAACCCTTTGCAGGTGTTTTGTATTAATTGGTTGATTAAGGATGTGACACTATGGTCACAAGCTTTGGGTAGTGACCGAAAGAAAGATCGCGGATAAAGATGAGTTTTTTCTGCAGGGTGGCTGGGCTCACCCTTAGAGATGGGGTGAGAAGCTCAGCCATCCAGGAGGGGCTCGAAGTAGATCCGCTGCTCCTCCACATCGAGAGGAGCCACTTGAGGTGGCTTGAACATCTGATTAGGGTGCCTCCTGGACGCCTCCCTGGTGAGGTTTTCAAGGCACGTCCAACCAGCAGGAAATGAGGATGAAGATGGAGGGGGGGATGGGCTCTCTCATGAGTCAGTTTTTAGATTAGTCATAGATATGTTTAAGCAATCTGGCATTTATATCACCAAGCGATCTAGGAGGAGCAACAGTTAAATAATATCCACACTAGTTCATTCTGCAGCAGTAGGGGTGCCAAGTTCACCCATGGGTCAGCCTGCTTTTTCTGAAGGTTAAGATATAGAAAAGGTAAAGGGTGATGTACGGTAATTGGAAAGATTCCAGGAGAAATTCTCTACATCACAACATGACTTAGATTTGCAGAATTAGCAGATCTGAATCTTAGATCAGGGTTCCCTGTCCACAGGTCCAAAGACCAACCTCGGTCTTGCTTGTTATGGTGGAAATTAGCATCGTTGAACTAATTTTAAAGAAAAATGGGTAAACTGCTTACATGTGGGTTAGAAATTCCTTTATCCAGATACAGATACAATTGGATACTACTATGAGGATTTTACTAGACTTTAGCACATCCCAGATTTGACACCCTCAACGCATCCATGAGTGGAAAAGTCACATGTACACGCGCAGACAGACAAACACTACACCAAAACTAAACAATTGATTCAAGACTCTGAACGTGACCGAGAGGGACCCGAAGGTTCTGGATGCGCAGTCGATGCTGTCTGAATGTTTCCAGCGCAGGTCTTTAGAGACGAGCACTGAGATGTTTAATCAGGCTTTGTGAATGTGTTGCTGGTGATGTAACCTCCTGACAATAGGCCACATTGATGCGTGGAGACACAAAGAAACAGTGTTCCCCTTCATCATCCAAATCAGCTGCAACAACTAAATTGCACCTCCCTTCATGGGCTCTGTGGCCCTCTGACCAGAGGTACACCAACAAAATTCTGTAAAACCATCAAAGGTAGAGGTCAACTTTTCAGCCTGAGTGAAAAAAGAATTTAACAAAAGTTATGACGAAAACCGGGTGGGACCGCCCGCGCAGGTTGAAGCGCTTGAAAATGCAGCCAATTATCAACAACAAACAGCCAAGATGGAAACAGTCAGGGAAACCGAGGCCTCCTGTGAATTGGCTTCACGCTGAGCTTTTGATGATCACCTAGAAACCATTAACTTCCCCAAACAAGACTGGATCGAATCCTCCAGGACCCGAGCCAGTCCGACATGACAACAACAGGGTAGAGGTTGTGTTTGTTTGTTTGTTTGTTTGATCGTCTCCTGGCTGGAGTTTAAGGCATCTGGTCCAAATGTTTGGGGATCAGGTGAAATGAAAAGTTTTCCCATGAATGGGAACGGGGAAGTTCATCTTTAGCCAGTGTCTCACTGGACTGCAATTCGTGGCAAAAAAAATTGCAAACAGGATTCTTGAGATTTTCAAAAATGTCCTGAAATGTTTGCAGGTTCTTAACTTGAAACACAATATGTCAGCTGTTCCTTTTTTTTTCTCTGAATTAAAACAACCTAAGACATTAGCTCAAAATGGTTGCGTAATTGTTGTGGGAGTCAGGAGTTTGTCTCGAATCTGTCTCAAACCTTTCTCATTTGCTACAAGTAAGTAAAGAATCTTTATGTGGCAACTTGTTAAAGAAGAAAATCACAAAGAATGTCACATAAAACAATTTAAAATGATCAAACCAAGCTAAAAAACAGAAGACTAAAGATGGCTGAACACAAAAAGGTAAAACTATTAAACAGCATAATACAATTGAAAAAAGCACAAAAAGTGTGAGCAAAAGGGAATTCTACAATTTCCTTGAGAAGAAAATATGAGGAAGTGTTTTGGGGGTTGGCAACCAAATTGAAGAAATGAATAAAGAACATATCGAGACACAAAGAAGACGATGTGTGACTTAATTAAATCGAGAACGCCGGCGACCCTGCATGGACATGCGGGGATGGATGGATGCAGTTGAGGTGGCTCGAGCATCTCGTTAGGATGCCTCCTGGAAGCCTTCCTGGTGAGGTTTTCCGGGCAAGTCCAACCAGGAGAAGACCTACAGGACGATCCAGGACACGCTGGAGGGACCATGTCTCTCGGCTGACTAAGGAACGCTTTGGGATTCCCTCAGGGGAAGTGGCTCAAGTGGCTGGGGAGAGGAAAGTCTGGGCCTCTCTGCTTAATCTGCTGCCCCAACGACACGATCCCCACAGGAGCGGACAATAATCGTTGGATGGATGGATGGATGGATGGATGGATGGACATTGACATAATTCCAATTTAAATTTGCACAATCTCCATGTTTAACAGGGATACTCCTGCATACATCTGGCTAGAAGACATCTGCAGCATCTCTGCAGGACCATGTTTTACACCAGAGTGTTATTTTTTTTTTACTTTCATAACATCTTCAGACAAATAGTTAGGTTACAGGTTGTAGCTCAAGGTTTTTAAATTTTAATGTGTTTTAGTCAAAATTGTGAATTTACATTATCTCATATTTAACAGCAGATCATTTCTTAATGGGGGTTTTATGTGACTTTAAGAGGTTAATTTTATATTCTATACAATTTTAGCACAGAGCTTTAATGTTCTCTCCAGACTGATTCTTTCTCTTTCAAGTTTAGTTTATGTCTGTAGTTGTGGGCACCATCAGAGAGACAAAACTTCTCGATCGTTGTTTGGTTTGCGTGAGAAGCAGGACAGGAGGTGGGTCTGAGGCTCAACTGTGATTGGTTACGTTTGGTCATGGATTCAAAGCTTTTTTTTGAGAGAAAATCTGTCAAATATCTTTTTGATAAAAAATCCCACAAGTTTTAAGACTTCCACTCCAGCTGTGGATCCATCTCTGTGCACCTGTTTGAGGACAAGGAGCAGATCTTTGGTATTCTGGTTCAGAACCTCTGACTGCCATTAGCCTGGAAATGGTGACAAGGTGGAGGGCTCTAATTGGACGCATGGCGATCTCATTATGGGAGGAAGTCTTCCAGCTGGAGCGTAACAATCCAGGCTGGGATGGAGACAGGGAGGGAGGATCTAGTCTGTGGGGGTAGCTCGAGGGTCCAGGTCGGGCACAAAGCAGGGCCCCCACAACTCCAGAGTCCTCTCCAGTGTGGCTGCCAGGCCTTCATTGTTCAAACCCTCATTATCACCACTCAGCTGATGCTGTTTTTGCAGAGCAAGAGGCGTCACTGTGCATTCACTCTCTTGGCTCAAAGTAGAGCTGCTTCTTCTCTGCGTTAGAAACTTCAGTCCAGGACAGCGGGGGGTTCAGGGCTTGCTCTGAGACGTTAACATGGACTCCTTAGATTATGGAGCAGCAGCCATGAGAAGAGGAAGTTATGATGATGCAGCTGTTTCTCTACATCCTGTGAGTGTGTGACAAACTATCTTCATAAAACTTGTTTGGTTTCTGTTTCTGTGCAAAGTGAAGTTATTTAAAAGTCTCTAGTATGGAGAAATATTCAGAAAAATTACTAACAATAAAAAATTTTATGCAAAAAAGAAGCAAGTGTTTTGTTGAACTGAAATTTTGTACTTCAAAAAATAGTTGCATTAATATTCTGAAAGTCATGGTCAATGACGATTAACTGACCCCTCAAATTAATTTCTTCTTGAGTTTTCTAATCCAAATAATCTTCTAAATAGCCACTGGAATAGATTAATCATCATTTTTGATGGTGACACAACAAACTCTCCTTTTATTATCTTATGAAATAAGCTCAAACCTAAACGCCTAACTCAGATCTTTTCAAGTAGATTTCTTTTTGAAGCAATTTAGATTTTATCTGTTGAAACTCTTTGAACAGCCTCAGTTTGGAGAAAAAACTAGTTACCCGCCTGACAAAGGGCTAGTTAAGCTAAGGGCTAGTCACAGCTGTGCTAATTTAAAAAACCTTTTACACCACATTACATTTTCATTGACTTAATCTATTACATTAAATGGTGCATAAGTTGGGGTTGCCACATCTGTGCATTTGGCAGTCGGCATTTGTAATTTGATACCATACGGCAAAGAACAACAACGCTCTGGACAGAATGTTATTCGGCAAAAGAAGCAACCTAGAAGTTATTTCTTGCAGCAAAAAGCCACGCCATCGTTTTTATTTTACTTTAACATTGGGTAAAGATTAGAGGCTAACGTTGTGCTAACAATGCTAACGGTAAATTAGAAAAAAATTCCCAATCTACTTTTTCAGTTACCAACAATTCAATATTACAGTGAAATTTATTTATCTTTTTATCAACTGACTGTGTGACTCGTCATCGCTGGTCATCTGGAATCTAGCGCTGATGCCTAACTGGCAACTGCTGCTCAGAGGGGGCTTGTTTGTTTTGATACATGGACTGCAGTACCCGCATTCGGCTACAGGATGTCATTCTTACTTCATGCAACTTTAAGTTGGAGTACAAATGTAATTTATGCATTTTATGGACCTGAATGCTAACCACCTAATGAAATAAAAGTTTCATATCAATTGGTAGTTGCACCTTATGGCAAGACACAGTTTGTTCTAATTTGATTTAAACTGTAGTTGTTGAGTCTGAAAGTATTTGTCATAGCTCAGATCTTATTTAGTATTTATTTAGGATATTTGTCCCTCAGGTCCCATGTGTCAGGGGTGTGTCCAGGGGGTGGCCTGGGGTAGGGCATGCCACCCTTGGAATCTGATTGGCCACCCCACTGAATTTCCTTCAAATAGACTTGTCCACAAAAAGCTTGGGGCAAAAAAGAAAAAGCAAACCATTGGTGCCACTACCTGGGCCACCCCATTTTAAAAGATCTGGCCATGCCACTGCCATGTGTGATCTTGATTTGTCCCATTAAGAGACAACACACCGTCCAGCTCCGCCACAGCTACAGAGAGAGAGGCTTTGTCTAGCTTCCTAGTTTGTGCTTGTTTTGTTGTGTTTTCCCTCGTCATCAATTTTGCTTCACCTAATTCATGAATCCAGCAATTAGAGCACAAAAGCAGCCGCATGAAAACAATTTTTGTTTTCTGTCAAACGAGTGAGCAGCAGATCATGTGTGTGTTTCAGACTGTCTGGAAAATCAAAACATGGATTAAATAAACACAATCAGCTCTCTAAACACTACGAAGTGTCTTGGAAGCCAGTTTACAAGCTGCACACACACCGTAAAAGGCCCATATCAGCATACGATGATAAAATACACGGGCTCTCACTTCCTGTGGCCTCCCCAGTCAGTTCAAACCCTCTTCGTATCATCGGATGAGGATTGTATTTAACTCCTTCTGTTCTCCTCCCAGCACTTCAGACACTTGGCTCAGAGACGGCGCTCTGCTCCATCGCTCATCTTTGGGAAATCTCTGGGAATGCCGTGGTCTCCCATCAGGTGGGAATTTGTTAACAAACAAGCCCTTGATTATGTGCTTATCTATAAAGAAGTGCTGTTCAACTCTCACTGGGTTCATACCTGCAAGTGATGCTTAAACTCAAAGGGCGGATTTCGAGTGACAAAACAAAGCTTGAGGTTGTGCAAAGGTCAAAGGTCATGCATGATTTTATGAATCCGGGTCACGGCACCAAAATGTTGGGTATTTTTATTTATTTAATCCAGGAAGAAAGTCCAAAACACACAAGGGGGGGTTAGAGATAATATTGTTATTAATACCATTTACCAATAAACACAAATAATCAATAATCAGATTTTGCAAAACCGGGAGAGATCAAAGAAACACTCACACAACAGGGAGGTCGGTTTAGTCTCTTGACAACACGGAGCGTGTCAAAAGGTTTTATTCATCAGATGACATGAAACGTACACATTAAAGATGACCACACCCATCCCTTCACACACAGCAAACTTTCCCAGGTTCAGAGAAACACTCCATCTGGACTTCACTAGGGAGCCTTTTGTGATAACAGAATAAGCAGACTTACAAGCTCGACTTTTCCCTCCAGCAGGAGCAAAACAACACCAGGTGTTTTCCCAGACAAAATCATCATTTATGCATCCAATTATTTACCATTATAAATGTGGATAAGGTTAATGAACTCTGTTTGACAGAATAACACTATTTTTATCCAACACATGCCACCGGTGGATATATAATATAATAGTCAAACAAATTGCTTCTATTGTAGATCAGTATGGGTTGTTTTCAGCCTCCAGCGTGCAGATGGCAGCACAAGCTGAAAGTCACACTTCAGAAACACACTGAAGAAACTCTTCCTCTGGCCCTGATCTCGGCACGTGTTGCAGCTGTTTTAGTTCAACTTCGCAGCCTACAGATGTCCTGGAGGGGATTTACATCCTCCGGTTTCACTCTAAACACAAACGCAGATGGCTAGCCAGACTTATTAATTTAGTCCTCCCAAAATGCTTTTTGAGGACTGTATTTACACTTTCTTGAACAGTTTTCAGCCCATTTTTCACATTTTTGAGCTTTGAAATATTAAAATCTGTTAAACTTTTAATGTTCTCACGTTTATTATTTGTCTGATATCATAAAATTTCTTAAATCTTGATTTGATTTTGTGTCTTTTTACCCTTTGTTTCAGTAGAGGTACAAGAAATTTGATAAAATCAAAACATTAAAAATGATTTGCGTTTCCCTTCCAGACAGGTACTGTATTTCTAAATCTTAGTCAGAAACAATGGCGGGCTTTGACTTAAAGCCTATATTTTGGTCCACGTGTTAGTTTTGCCCGTTGGGTTTTGCACTTAGACGTCTGAAACGCTCAGACATGTGGGCCGTGAATGGGCTGGCCCCCATGCTTATCTAAGATTTAACCTTTTAAAGACGTCGTCACTGTTTGGTGCTGAAAGACCACTACGAGGAGGTGGAGGAGTCCTTCAGAAGCAAAAAAATGTCAGAAACATCCCACCTTCACTCACTCACACAAACACACACACACACACACACGCGCGCGCGCACACACACACACACGTGCACACACACCACTCAAAGATCAAACACTTGCATCATCATCAGCAGCATCATGTGGGCGTGGCGTTGTGGGTGCTAGTTTCACTAGAGTGGGATCGGCTCTGACGACAAACACACTCGCCGCAGATGAAGTCAAAGAAAAAACCAACAAACACATTTTATAAAATTGTTATTATAAAGAGAATTTGGTCTATTATAAATCTCCTGCATACTTTAAAGGTGAATCAGAGACTTTAACTTGGCAAAACTTGCATGAATATTTTTCTCTTGATGCTGATTCCTCTGATCCAGAAAACAAGTGTTTATGAAAAGATACAAGTTCATGCTTATTTGCAGATTTTTTTATGTTTACGTGAAAGAAAACGGTATAATTTAGGTTTTCTGTTTGCCCACTACTCAAACTAATAATTTAAACAGTTTCAAAACAAGCTGGATGTTATTATTTATGTAAAACTAATAACTACTAAAAGGTTTGTCAGTGAACCTCTCTCAGGCTGTTATTTGTAAGGGTTGAAGCTGCCATTGTGGGCCACAGAGAGGTGGCAGAGAAAGCACCTTGACTCATACAATTTGAATTTTTGTCTCCGGCAGTGGGAGGAGTGTTGACCAAAACAGGTTTCATAATCACTTCACACAAACTCTTACTTGTTTGGGGCACAAATGCGGTGACAGGAGTGTGAATATATATAAAAAAAACATTCTACTGTCATGATTGTTAGTTAAAATGTTTTTGTGGAACATTAGATATAATTTTGAACGTCTTTGTATTAGTCATGCCTCTGATGTAGTATGTTTTAATTTCATATGTGATGATAAATATTCATAATCAGGTTTTTTTCATAATCCTAAGTCATTTTGTGAAAAGTTTTATTTTCACCAGCCTGGTTTTAGTCGGATTAAGAGGGAAAATCTTTTTTTTTTCTTTAAGAATCGAACGTGTCTGGCAGTTAAAGATGTGGGACACTGAACACCCATGTTTAAATGATCATTTCTGATTATAATCAGTCACTCTGAGTTTTTCATGCAGGCTGAACATGAAAATAGTCTCCTACATCTCTCTCCTGCATTAGCTTCTGATAGAAAATAGACGAAGAAACTCTAGGATTTGAAAAGCCTGATAGATCTACGTCATACTGTCACTTAACTGCTGCTCCTCCACATCAAGAGGAGCCAGTTGAGGTGGTTTGGGCATCTGATTAGGATGCTTCCTGGACGCCTCCTTTGTGAGGTTCTTCGGGCACGTCCAACCGGCGGGGGACCTAAAGGGACATGTTGGAGAGACTATGTCTCTAGCCTGGTCAGAGAATGCCTCGGGGTTACCCTGGAAGAGCTGGCCCAAGTGGCTGGGGAGAGTGAAGTCTGGGCCTCCCGACTTAAACCTGGGGCACACAGAAGACAGATGCACCGCGGAAGCTCTGAGGTTTTGGAAAGTTGCTGCATGCTTGCTTAATATGCAGTTTGCTGGGTTCCTTATATAGGAAACTTTTTTTCTGATTGGCTTAATGAACTGACCTTTATTGGAATGTTTTATTATGTGAAGTACCTTGAGACGACTCTTGTTGAGATTTGCCGCTGTATAAATAAACTTGAATTGAATTGAATCAAATGGTCACACAGGAAGTGCCGCTAAAAGCTTCTTGGAAAGTTGCGTGATAATCACATCATCAAGCAAGACTGGAGATCAGGAAGTGGAAAGTGACACATTTGTTTTCACACGATCACACGTCCAGGAATCATCAGAGAACGTCCTGACTAGTAGAAGCTAACCGTTAGCATTACCAACCCCACCACACAGCAGAACTCCCCCAGGCTTGTGTTATTTGTGAAGATAAAACATCCACGTTGCCAGTAAGTGGTAGAGTCGTGTTTCTGTTATCCAATTTGAGGCGAGATGCCCAAATATCAGGCAACAAGACTCCAAATCCTGCTGCAGCAGACTTGTCCATGCTGGAACAGCCCTTCTGGCAATCATTCCTACCAGAGACCACTGCAAATGTATTGATGAAATGAGTTTCCCACACCTTTAAAAACATCTACTTGTTGCTCAGTTCATCAGACTAATTATAGCCCAAGTACCACATGGTCTGTTTGTTTATGAAATGTTGCTTTTAAGACAATAAAATGATAAACAATGCAGCTAAAGGTGGAACGATGCTAAGAATTAGCTCTTTAAGGGTATTACAAACACATCTGACAGACACGTCAAACAGCAAAAAGCTATGCTGAAGATGTATGTCGTTTTTCCACAACAAAATATGGTTGCTAGTCTTTATTTCGTTCAAGGCTAAATTAAGCTTAAATGTATTAAGTCAGTCTTTCAATGTGTAAAAAAGAAAAAAAAACATTTTTACCTTTGAGTTATTTTCATAAAACGGAACGTTTTCTCTCATTGTTATGTTAACTTTACTGTTTTATACGATTTACAGAATTTATTCAAATCAAAAACTTTTATTTTTACCAAACAGTATTATCCAGTGCGATTTTAAAAATGTTATTCTATTTATGACTTAATAAACAATTCCCAGATTGTAAAGGACATAACAGTGATTTATAATGATGTTGGGAACGGGCTGTCCTATCCACCAGTTTTCCTTTGTTTCTCTAAGGGAGGAGACTCCATGCCACGTGTCTGTAGAACAGAGTCCATTTGTCCTCGGTTTGACCAGCGAACACGGAGACCTGCTGCTGGACGAGTGCGTCCAGGTCACAGAGGGCGCCAAGACCAGAGAACGACACCTGTTCCTCTTCAGCGACGTCCTCATCTTCACTAAACTCAAGTAAGACATCCTCACTCTCCTAGAAGTTGTTTCATTTTACTTCAACGTTTTAAATTAAACAAAAACTGGAACCAAACTGAGTTATTTTTTTCAACGTGCTGTGGTTTTAAGTAACTTTCTGGTCAAAATGCCAGATGTTAATGAGGTCTGTGCTGCAGTGTGAAAAGGGAAGTAAAAACAAGCCGTGTATTTTTGAACTGCACGTTTGGACTGCTGGGGAATCTCCCAGGGCTGGAGGCTGTTTGTTTAGCAACAATGATTTTTATAGAAAAAGAAAGCGGGGTGATTCCCTAAAAAGAGATGTTTGATTAGGGGGACTTTTCTGCGTTCCCTTAATACTTAAACTGAAAAACCAACAAGTTATTTAAACACATTAGAATGAAGGCGTTGTCCTAAAAACAAGCCTTGAATTAGGAATTTGTTGTTGTCATGAATGGATTTTAGGAGAAAAAAAAACCTTTTTCCAACATGAGACACAAATCCAGGGTTCGCGGGTGTTCCTAGACTTCCATCACCAGACGCCCTCTGGCTGACCCAACCTGGATTCAGAATCAGATTTTGGGTCCAAACACATCAAGGACCGTCCTTCTTGATCCATAAATGTGGGGCTTTTCTGCAGCTTCACTGTGGTTGTTTTCAACAGTTTGTTTGTTCCAAGTAGAGACCGGCCTGGAAACCCCCAGCAGACCACCTTTATTGGCGACCTTTCCACCCATTTTCTGAGCTGGTGTCCACCAACCAGAGCGCCGTCTGCTCTGTGCAGATAAGTGACATTGTGGCATTTTAGGTTGGAATCAGCAGCTCCAATCTTAAAGTGAGGCTAGCAAACCAGTTGGGAGCAGCCCTGATCCTCTTCCTAGATGGCATCAGAACCTGGCCATGGTGCCGTCTGAAGCTTTAGCGCTCACATGCTGGATTAGATCAGTGGAAGGTTTAAAGTTACGAGTGGGAGGAAAGTCTCAGTCATCTCTGTACCACGACCTGCCCACTGTTCCTGTAGGTAAGCTCAAATGGTACAGCTACAGTAAACGTGTGTGTCAGCACAGCAGCGCCCTTTACCTCCACGCTTATGTCCGGAGGCGTTACTCATTTTTCTGTTTGCTTTTTGCTAAAGTTTGTTGTGGAAACCCTGGCTCTCCAGTCATGTGAGGATAGCTTTTACTCACGTTATGTGGGAAATCTTTTTGTTGCGTAAAATTTTGAGGAAAGCTAAAAAAGATCCAGAGATTTTCATTCAGTTTTCCGACACACTCGTCTCACGTTGATCAGGAGAGAACTGAAACCTAAAAGAAATCAAAGTTAAACGTGATAATTTTGTGGTTCTCTTCCCTTGAAACAGGTCAACGGCCAGCTACCGGCTGAAACACAGAGTCAACCTGGAGGATGTCTGGCTGTACGGCTTTGAGGAAGAGCAGCAGGAGGATGAGGAGGGCGTGAGTGGGAATGTCGTGGATCTCAGGCTGACTCTCGTCCTGGCTTGGGACGTCACAGTTTGCCTCGTGTGTTTTTGGTGAGTGTCTCCCAGGATCTACTGACAGATCGGCACATAAACCCTTGATTCTATCAAAATCGCATGTTTATCTGAGTCACTGTGAGAATCTGCACATGATCATTACTCATCCTAATCATTCTTCACCCTGGACAGGTCCTCTGTCCATCACAGGGACACACAAAGACAAATTCAGCCCAACCAAGAACCAACCAATCAGAGCGAACAGATTCTAGCTATTGAGATACAATTAGACATGGCAGTCGCCTTGGGTCGCCTCCGACCAAAACTTAAAGTCTACTTTAAAGGATCGGTACACGGCTGTGAGGTTTGTTTCACGTTAAAACCCTCATTGCACACACCAAATCGAGCATTTGCGAGAAAACCTGTCAAAATAAAAGTCTCTTGATTATCAATTTATCAGTTGAAGCTCATGAAAGCCTTGTAGTGAATACGTGCTCGTGTAGTAAATGATCATATGATCTGTGACCTTCAGGAGAAAGGAGGAAGTAGGAAAGCGAAAGCCATTCCTGCAGCATCATAAGACAACAACTCCAGCAAAAGGGGAAGTTGGGATGCTGCCGTTAAAACCAACCTTTCACGTGAAGGGATTATCAGCTGACTTTAATTAGAAATGCTGCCTTTTACTGTAAAAGCAGCGAGCAGGAGAAAGCTACAGAAAAAGGACTGAAAGCCGTTTGGCACCAGATGACAAATGCCTAATCTGAGTTTTTCACTGACTCCTACGTTTCTCACAAATGCTTTAAAATCAGACATCGGGGCTGTTTTTCAACCAATATTGCATTCCAAGAAGCTGATCAGTCCCCAAGTGAGTTGTTTTGTTTGAAAATGAGACACCCCTTTACTCAGTGGACCCTGGTAATGATTCACTGTGTGAAAATTTCATTTCTCCGCGCTGAGACGAAGTCATCTGAGGCCTTCCAGAGACATCTGATGGTTTCCCTTTGCTCTGGCACGATATCGGGCTAATGAAGGTGAAGCCTTCCAGGTGTAGGCGACGTGTGTCGTTCCTGTTTCCACTGTCGGACGCGAAGCCGCAGCAGAGCTTTGGTCTATAAGGAAGTGGAAGGAGTCTGGTCGGGGCACGCCGTGACGCTGCTTCCTGTTCCCATGACTGTGACGCCCTTTCCACCAGAGTTGTTAAAAGAGGCAGTGGTTGCGCACATCGTCTCATTCCACCCACTGTCATCTCACAGAGCCGGTCTGACTCTCTCTGTGGATTAGTAACTCGTGCCATGCTGTTATTTCGCCCACAGCTCTCCTGACGGGAAAGAACGCTGGCTAGAGACTCTTCACAGGTAAGAGTGAGATGTTTACATTTAAAACTATGATTTATTCTTGCTTAAACCTGAGCTCTCTGGATGTTAGACTGATTGACAAATTCTGATCTGTAAAACTTCAGGAAATCAGTTTATTTTTTAATGATTTCAGAAAAATTGAGGGAAATAAAAACCAAACAGAAACAAAATATACTCGTTTCAATTACTTAAAAGTCAATTAACAAACTTTTAAAGTACAACATGAATGAGAAGTCGTCTGAAACGGTGCGTTTTGGTCCAATTACAGTAAAATTAAAAGGGCCAAAGTGAGGACCAGTTGCATTTCTCCCCCTCCAGACGTCCTCATGAAGGTGTTGAGTGGCAGCATCACAGTAAGTCTCGCTCCGTCCTCGCTGCCACATGCAACTGAAACTCGAAATGTTTCAGAAGACTCGTTACTCAATAACGTTTCTAACAGTTTTATTTTTCTTCACCTTTTTTTAGAATAAAACTCCAACAGGAGGTGGCATGGAGCAACTGATTGTGCTTCCTCTTGAGGTGAGTAAAATCTGACTTTCTTATAGCTGCAAACGTTCTGCTCACTCAACACTCCCTAACTTTGCGTGGTGTGTGGTGCTGACTGGTCAAATAAAAAGACACGCCCCTTCTTCTTCTGCTTTTGTCCTCATGTTCCTCTTGTAAGCTCATCATCACATCTGTTTTTTTCTGATGTTTTGTTGCCAGGGCGATGCAAAGGTCCCAGCTTTGATGAAGCAGCTGAACAACCCAGAGGAGAGCCAGACACAAGCCACTGGTGAGTTTAGCGTAACTCTGGTTTTTGCACCAAGTCTCTTTCTGCGGCAGTTTTGCCGATGGGAGGAGGCTTTTTTTTTTTGGGTTTGACGAAAGATCAACCACAAACACACACGCACACACCGAAAAAGAAATCTGATTAGAGAACAAGTGACGATAACAACCAGTTGTACCGCTTGTTTTGAGTCGTGCACGTCCTTTATTGTTGCTCATGTCACTTGTTCAAAAACAATAATGGATCTTGTGCTTTTTCTGTTGTCAGAGACCAAGTGGAACGTGGTGAGGAAGATAAAGTTCAGAAAAGGTTCCACCAACAAAATATGCCAATCTGACAAAGACACCAGGACTCAGCTGTTTGGACAGCCACTCTGCAAGATCTGCACAGATGACCATTCTCTCCCCAAACCCATCACCGTAAGTTGGATTTTGTAATATACTATAAAATGCACGATTGTTGTGCCTTCCTGAATAACAAACATGTTTAATAACCGATCTCCTGTTCCTCCAGGATCTGCTGGTGCTGCTGAGGAAGCACGGCCCATCCACAGAGGGCGTGTTTCGGAAGCCGTGCAACAGCAGGCTGATGAAGAACATCAGAGAGCAGCTCGACAGTGGCTCGGAGGTGGACTTTGATGGTCAGCCGGTCAATCTGCTTGTCGGACTCCTCAAAGTAAGTTTATTTACCTCTGTTGGATAAAAACGAACCTTTTATGACTGCATTTCTAAAAATACGTCTTCTTCTTTGTAGTGTTTTCTGAAGGAGCTTCCTGGGAGCCTGTTGAGGTCTGAACTCTACAACAGGTGGATAATGGCTCTTGAGCATGAAGACTCCCAACAGAGAGTTCTTGAAATCACAAAGTAAGCAATAGAAAGCAGCTAATGGACATTTTCAGTCCTGTTTTACGGAATATGTGGTATTTTAATGTGAAACTACATCTAAATGTCTTCTCATAAATGGTTAATGTGGTTTGGAACAAGCTTGTATTTTATTGACAATTTTTTTGGGAGTTTTGCAAAAAAAATTCTTAATGTGCTCCATCTGTCAACCAAACCCAAACCACTTCTCCTTTTCAGTCTGTCATGAGTTTGAAAATGGGAAAAAAACTTTAATCACTTAAAGAGCGCCAAGCTAACCTTCTTCCTGTTTCTCTTCTTCCTTCCCGTTTTGTTCAGCGTGGTCGATGATCTCCCGGGGCTCAACAAGCTCCTCCTGCAGCACCTAATCTGCGTCTTGCATCACATCCTGGAGAGATCGGACATAAACAAGATGGACGCGTCCAACCTGGCGGTGTGCATCGGCCCCACGCTGCTGCAGCTGGATGACACCCCGCTGGACGGGCAGAGGGAGAAGATGCAGAAGGTAGCGTGTCTTGATGTGAATGTGCTTCCTCACTTTTGGTGCTTTGAAGCTTTGTGGTTCACAGTGCAGAAAACCTCAAGAGGTTTCACAAGTCATATCACACTTGCACAGATGCTAAGCATCAGGACCGTAGAGCTAATAAAAGAAAAACAAATGGTGGAAACCAGATGAACTGTATTCTACCTGGATTACTTCAAATATTTATGTTTTTCCTGTTGCTATGTTCGGCAGGTCACAGAGCTAACTCAGTTCTTAATCGAGAATTTTCAGATTCTTGGGGAAAATGTTCCAAGCTTGCTGGATACAGATGAAGGTGAGTTGAAAAGTGCCTCAAGTCTTTGTTGGTGTCTTGATTTAGGAACCAGAATGACTGAACATTTGATAAAGAGAATCTAATCGTATCTTTTTCATCATGCAGACTCGTTGTCTTCAGTGCACCATGACTCTGCATATGACAGCACTGATCCAGAGGTGGATGGAGAGGCAGGAGAGAAGATCAGGTCCACACATGGCGACCGTGGCTCATCTTCCTCGTATTCCTCCCTCAGCCCCAGCACAACCACCTTGTCATGGCAATCCGACGCCGCCTTCAACACGAAGGCTCCTTTCAGCCGCCGCTGCTCTGAGCCCATCATCTTCCTCTCCCCGGATCTCAGTAACTTGTGCAACCACTCCAGGAGCAACGACGACTGCTCCAAGGAGAGGGGGGAGTTTGAGGAGCAGCCTCTAAAAAAGCAGATCTCCGACGACTCCTTCTTGCTTAAAAGTCGAGGCGGAGAGCGCTCGGTTCTGTCATTTCCAAAGCTGAACAGCACCTCCAACATGGACCCGCTACCTTACGTGGGCAAGGACTGCTCGAGCTCTTCCCTGGAGAGCACGACCTCCAACCAGTCGGAGAGCTCCGTCTTCACCAGCTCTCCAATGGGATCGCCGGGATGCATCAAGAAAGCAAACATGGACAAACCCCCTTCAGTGGCATTCAACGCCAAGGAGGACAGCCCCAGGAAAATTCCTGAAGAGAAGAGACGGTCACAGTCCATGAGAGTAGCCAGCAAAGTCCTGATGAGGACCAGGAGCTTGGCGTCCTTCAGCAGGAGCAGCCTGAAGAAAGACTCTCAGAAGGAAAACTCCTTCCCATGCGAAACTCTTCAGGAAGACTCACAAAGTGATGCGGAGCCATCAACAGAGCACAAACCCCGCCCTCTGTCAGCCATTGAGGTGTTCAGGCAGGTGGACAGCAGGCTGCCTTGTAGACCTCCATCGTACGAGCAGGCGGTGCAGAACGGGAGCTTCCCTCCACACTATAGAGCAATGACCGTACAGGATGCCATGACGCTGGAGAGTAGGTCCCGGCCATCCTCTGTGAATTACGACTTTCCAGCCACCTCTTTAGTGAGAGACTACCCAAACCAGCCGGTCTGCTTCCCTCATACAGAGCCGGAAAACGTCGTTGTCAAGCGACGGCAGCCTTTTCGGCAGAGAGCCATGTCTGAGTCCGTCTCCGTGGACCATCACGAGGTCGTGTCTCGGAGATGCAGCCAGCCCGTGTTCGAGGAATTCTCCTACGCCAAGGAGTCTTACGTCTGACTCACTTCTGGGATGTTAGCTGCTGAAAACAATTCTCCAAAGAGGGGAAGATCCAGGGAAGCTAAAAGGGACAATTCAAGCCCGGAAGTTTGACTGTACACAGTTTTGTTTTTATGATTTTTCAGTCATGTTTAGACTGTGTGATTGCACATTACACAAATATTACATTATATGTAGTTACCATGATAGATATTTAGTCTATCACAGTGAAGCTATGGACACACAGTTGACTGTGGATGGAATATGCTAGAGGTCTTGCAGCCAGTGTAATTTGTACAGTACACCATGAGCACACTGTTTATTTGTGTGTCTTCTTTCCTTTTTGCTCTTCGTAAACACACTTCACTTTTCACAACCTTCTTTTTCCACTACACTAAAGCACTTTTATCTGGTTTTACTATGCTTTTCTTATTTTTGTGCTAAAAATTGTAAATTGATAAAGATGTATTTGTTAAGATTTCTATACGTTTTGAAATGAAGTCCCTAGATGACCACGTAAAATAACAAAAGACAAATAAAAGATATCCAAAAGAAATTCCTTGATTGTGATTTTTTTAAATATAATCTTACATCTCTCCTTTGCTAATTATTAATGAATGACAAAAAGAGCTGCAGAGAGCTTGACTTCCTTTCGCTGGATGTGTTGCATAACAGACTCTGCAGACCTCGTTTAGGGTACAGCGTGTTCCTGCACAAGCGGCGTGCTAAAGCAAGAGAAACCAGACGCTGTCACATGAACGCAGTTGGTTTTTCTCCGAATTGCTGTTCCTCTTGTCATGATGCCACCACTTCTTCCTTCCTTTCTTAAACAGTTTTCACTCAATTTCCTTCCTCAACAAATTGATTCATTTCTTTGCAAAACTGCAGCAGATTGAGAGAAAAATAATTATTTTTTGACAACTGTTTCATGAAACAGAGACTAAACCTGTGATAAAGTTTCAGAAAGGGAGATTTTGCAATAAGATGGTAACATTCCGCGGCTTCATGCACCTTTATTTAGAATCTCACCTTCTGCATCTCATGATTGTCGTTTGACACTTTTGACACACTCGAAAATTCAAAGAAAAAAACTGTAGACAGCATTTTCATTTTTTGCCTTACAAGTTTCATTCAGCAGTGTCTCAGTCGATAGAAGCTGCACTTTCATCTTACCTCCTCAAAAAGAACTGTCAACATTTAAACGTGAAGTTTCTGAAGCCTGCTGCAGCTCATATCTGTGCATCTAGATATGTCTTTGCAGGTTTGTTGCACGTTGGTTACATTTCACACAGTCTGCAATCATTAACTCTGGGATAAAGATGATTTATATGATGTCACTTATTAACATGAGAGCATGCACATCTCAAATCTTAGTCAGGGCCTTTCTCTGTGCAGTTTGCATCTTCTCCTTTTACACATTTGGGAGTAATAAAACATGCACGCTAGCATAAATAATTCTTCTAAATTGACTTTAATTGTGGGAATGTGTTCACAGATCAACTGCTTGATTACCCCAACATTGCATAAAACCAAAGGCACGATTATTTCTGTTTTAGCATGAAAGGCACAAAACTCCCCATCAATTTGTTAACACTGTTGGGGGGAGGGGGGCGGACAACACTGATTGGCATCGGGGTGGAGTCATTGGTTGCTCCAGAGAGTTCTGCCTTGCTGCCTGCAGCATTTTCTGGGCCTCTTCTTTTAGGAGTCTGACAAAAAGCCACCGACTGCGCAGAATGTTGACCATCGCTAGCATGTCCTCCCTTGTTGTGCTGTGTTAGCAACAGACCACCTTGCACTTATTCTCGAACTATGTTGTTATCCTTTGTGAGCAGATTCTGATTGGTTTAGGGTTAGATTTGCAGAAAGAAGTCAACCAATTGCAAGGCTCGACCAATTAGAGTTACTGTTTTTGGAGTGTGACTAGATTTCCTGTTACCGAATGATCACTGCGACTGGTGTTTCGCAAAAAGCAGCAAAAAGTGATTCATAATCAATGATGATGGCTCTGTAGGGGTGCTGCTTCTAATGTCCAAATCTGTGAGTGTAGTGCTGACTTTTATGGAGTAAGCTCTTCAGAAATGTTAGGTGGCTGTGAACCGTGTGTGTGTGTGTGTGTGTGTGTGTGTGTGTGTGTGTGTGTGTGTGTGTTGGGGGGGATTTGAGTGTCGAGTTTTGTCTGTTCTGCCAAATATGAGAGCGGGTGGTCAGCCCACTTGGGTAAGTGGCCACCAGGGCAGTGCCATAATGCTGATTGGATAACAGCTTGCTGCTGATGGTTAATAAACCATTATCTCAAGAATACATGATGAAGCGTGGTGTGCTGGTAAAATCACTGTGAGATTAACCTGATCCTATAGCCTGGTCTGTGTCTGAACCTCCACCAGAGGGAAAAAGTGTAGTGAATACCTTTATTAACAAAAGTTCATTATTATGCATTAATAAACATGGGATCCCGTTAGTAACATTTCTGACATTGCTAACTATCACACGTCCGGTTAGAACACAGGTCCGGGGGGATGGGGATGGGGTCTGCTTAGTAATGAATCACTTAATATAAACATTAGTATTAAGCAGTTAGTAATACTTTATTTAATAGTTTATTAAAGCTTAATAATGCACTAAGTCAAGTTAATAAATGGACATTTTTGTGTTGCCAACTTTCTAAACAGATTAAAGTAATCCAAGGTAGTCATAACAAGTCTATAAACAACAATGCATTCTGGATAAAACAGGACAATGTACTGTCAAATATAGGTTAAGCCAAAAGATTTACCTGCCATGTTGTATTTTTCACTGCTAGAGTCAGAGCATCCCGGATGTGTATTTCTACTGTTTTTCATTCATTAACATGTAGGTAGCGGGGCTTAAAACACACTGCAGCCAGCCACTAGAGGGAGCTTGTTTTGTTTTGGTCTTCAGTTTAACATACAATAAATTATTCCTGCATAAAATCTTTTCATTGTGAGCCACCCGAGACGTCCAGCGTGCGTCCAGCTCGTTATGTAATGCATCACTAATGAGAATTGGCTGCTACAGTGGCAAGCCAAGCTCTTTTAATGGCGTGTGTCTGTGCGACACACATAAAGGGAGATAAAATCTCAGCTTTACAGATGTCTCATTTGAGTGGATTGTCTTTAATTATTTATGAAAATCCTAAAATTCACACGATGTGGTTCCATCAGGAAATCATTTGCATTTGCCATCACTTTCACAAAGTTGTCACCTCCATCCCCCATCAGATACAGACCGGTGTCCTACTTTTCTCTGACACTTTCCTACTTCTATTGTTCGTCTGAGAACACTCTTGGTGGTTTGGCACTGCTTCGAGTTGAGTTTCGTGTTTTTACTAAACACCCCTTTGCTGGCCAAAGCTTAGTGTTGGCAGAGAGCAAAGCTAATCTGTTTTCATGTGTGCACTTAAGCTTTGATTATACACCCCCCTAAGCTTACAAAAGCATGTCAAACCTGCACAAAAAAAAAAACAAAAAAAAAAAAACGCAAAAAATCTTTACATCAAAGACTCTTACCTCTTACAGGTAACACTGGCTCTTGCATTACATGACTTTTCAACTTTTGGCTTCTCTTGCAGGAAGTGGTATTTGCATCAAAAGGTTATGCTCAGAACGTCTATGGTGTTCTTTTTGTAAGGTGCCAGTTAGTTACATTATTTTCTGAAGTTACTGGTGCCTAATGCATTTTCAAGTTTGGTTGAAACTACCTATTTTCATGTTTTTGGTGAGACATCTGCTCTGCACTTCTGTTATTCATCATGGAAGAAATTTTGGGTCTTCAACAGAAAAAAAGAGAAGAAGAAACTGAAGTGGCAGATGACTACTTTTAACCGGACAGAAAATTAAACACTGAGTTTTCTTGCAAAGTGGATTTATTAAAGTAACAGTTGGCAACTGTTAGCAAGTGAGCCAACTGATACTAAAATATACTATGAAGTGAAAAGGTCCACATGACCAAAAATAGCATTACTTACAAGTCCAGAAGCAGCAAAGCCAGGTCACCATCAGTTTGAGATTTTGTAGCCTCCTTTAGCTCCCTCAAACTAGTGTTCACTCTAGTTTTAGCATTAGCTTCATCTCCAAAACCATTATCCTCTTACTCATACTTCTAAGCTCCACCATGATGCTAACAGAAAAGCAAATGACTTATTTTTCTTCTTCTTGTGCTTTTCCTTGAAATATAAAAGCTAATCGCTAGCACTACAGCTAACAGCCGTAAAACAGGCAAATAACACCTCGTATAGAGCACCTACCCGCTCCACAAAAGTTCAGTATATGGTCAGCTTTAGTTTGAAGTTTTAAAAATGATTTAGTGTTCCTTTAAGGGATCATCCCTCATGTTTGTGATGAACAGCTGTACCTTCTCCACTTTGGAGCAAATCTACATCTTTTGATGCCCGAAAAAAAAGCAACAGAAGACTCATCACACCTTGGTCATTGCATCTTCCAGCTGTTGCCATCAGACAAAGATCTAAAGCTATGAAAACCAGAATAAACCATGACCCTAAATTCCAAATTCCTTCTGTTCTATTTTATGATTCCTATCATACACTGAGACGATGACACCTTCTAACTTTGTTGTTATTTGGAAAGGGTGATGATGACATCTGATTAATTAATGTATTGATTGGCAATCTAACCTGGACTACCAGCAATAAAATCTGTGAGACAGTTAACATTATCAGGGAGAGTACCCAAGAGAGTTTATTATTAGAGTTCATTAGAATCAGTAGTGGATTTAAAAGGAAGTGATACACCATCTCTCTGGAGACGGTTCCTACAGCTGTTACCACAGCAACCATTTTTCTAAACAATCTGTGCAAAACAGATACTGGTCGGTACCAAACTGTGGCTAAAATTATTTCCAAACGAAGAGTTCTCAAAGCCACGGTCCACTGGCGCTCCAGTGGATTAGGTTTAATTTATCAAGGAGGCGTTTTTGTGTAAGATTGGGGGATTATTCTTCCATCACTGCTGATCTGCCTTGGGGAGTGCCCCAAGGTTCTATTTTAGCCTCGCTGTTATTTTCATTCTATCTTCTGCTTTTGGAGGACCTATTTCACAACAATGAAACATTCCATCTATATGCGAACGACTGCCAGGTTGTTTTTCCAATTAGGTGTTGTGAGGCTCCATCCAGCCCTTATTGGACTGCCTGTAGGGCATCAAGTCATGGATGGCTCAGAATTACCTGTGTTTTAACCAAAATGAGACTAAAGTAATTCTGTTTAGTCCACAGAATCCAACCCCAGGTTCATGGGGTTGATTTCTCTACATTGGTGCCATAGCTGAAGGTGGGCGGACGATGAAGACAGATGTGGAGTTGAGACCAAATTCTCAGGAGAATGGAACGGTGAGATCTTGTTCTATTCATTTTAGGAGGATAGCGAGGATTAAGCCATTTCTATCATGTAAGCATTTGGTGATGATGATCGTCGCCTTTACCTCCAGGTTGGATTATTATGTGGGGATTATGTAAGTTTCAATAGTTCGCCTCAAGGCAATCCAGACCTCTGCAGCCGACTGAACTCTGTTGCTGACT